TTCCCAAACGTTGAGCGGGTTGCCCTGTGGACAGAAACCCTCAGCATGGTGCTGCCAGAACGCGGCTACGTCGTCCATGTCGTCCATTATTGTCCACGTCAACTGCGTGTGTAGCGCTGGCCAGAGGGGCTCCGTGGGGTATCGACATCGCTACCAGGGGTTGAAGGCATACGGGACTTTTTCAGTACACTCTCCCTCTCCATCTATCTCACCCCAAGTCTAATTTTGTATGGACAGCGGTCCCGCGTGGCTTTTGTAAAAAAAACATACTGATTTTTAACACTGGGTGACACCTGTTCTGGCGTGCTTAGCAGAAGGGCCATGCGCAATCTTTCGCCGCGCGCTTGTGCCTAAGCCTTTGCGAGGGATAGGCCTACGTCCTCAATGGCGGCAAAGGCTCGTTTATGACCTGACGGCAGTGCTAGACGTTGCATGATGTATTTGCTGTTGATGTGCATTTTGTGTCTTCAGCAACATGCGTTCAGCCGCGTTTGAGGGATCGCATCCGATCCTGCGTGTTTCAAATGTTGTTGTGTTGCCTACTGAAAGGCACCGGAGGGGCACTGATCAAACGGGTAGNGTGCTTAGCAGAAGGGCCATGCGCAATCTTTCGCCGCGCGCTTGTGCCTAAGCCTTTGCGAGGGATAGGCCTACGTCCTCAATGGCGGCAAAGGCTCGTTTATGACCTGACGGCAGTGCTAGACGTTGCATGATGTATTTGCTGTTGATGTGCATTTTGTGTCTTCAGCAACATGCGTTCAGCCGCGTTTGAGGGATCGCATCCGATCCTGCGTGTTTCAAATGTTGTTGTGTTGCCTACTGAAAGGCACCGGAGGGGCACTGATCAAACGGGTAGGGACACTGTTAGATTGTCCATCGCTCGGGGTGAGGCATTCGTGGTACCAGAGAGAGAGAGAGAAGACAGCCATCGTGCACGGGGTGCTGTGTTGATGCAGCAGCTACGAACCAGTCTTTTTCTCTAGTTTGTGGGTGATTGCCATGTGTCCGTTGCGAATACGTGCAGCCTAAGTCCATGGTGGGTGTGGGCCTTCCCCCTTCAGACCGTTCGGGATGCACCTGATACTCTATCCCCGGCCACGGCCACGGCACATGCCCTTTTTGCTCGTGCTGGCTGCGCGTAACTCCGCGGGCGCTGCTCGCAACGTATGTGTGCGGCCAGTCAGACTTCTTCGTCCTCCTTCCCCTTTCTATTTCCAATTTCGGACTATTGGTGGTAAACAGCTTTTTGTGCCTCCCGGGAGAGCCACAATAACTCCCGTCACAAAAGGGTTAAAATCGATTTGGTTCGTCCTGCCGTTACCAGCTTTCTTTTTGCACGGCGGCGCCAGCGAAGGTACGCTACGAGCAGGTACAGCAGCATACATACTACCTTTTTGTACATTTTTGTATTATAGCATACATCACGAAGCCAGCCTAATTGCCCACGGAGTACAGGCTTCGCGCAGTAAACTCCCACGTGCAAGGAATGAATTCTGGGACTCACCGCCATCAGCTCGCGTGCGCGTTCCAGCAACTCGTCGCCGCCAGTAGAAGTGCGGGCCTGGCTACGAGTGCTCGACGTATGCGTACCATCATCTACATCGCCGGCTTGGACATCAGAGAGGTTGCTGGGCTCTAGAGGGCCTTCCTTAGATGCCCTGGCAGTGTTTGGCCCGAGCTGGTCTGTTTCATGTTGGCACGTCGATGCTGTTGTCATCGTTGCCTCTGCCACTGCTGGCTGTGAGGCAGCTGCTTCTGACATAGCAAACGGCATGTATTTTACTTACTCTGTAGCAGGATCTGCCGATCCTCTCGCACGAACCACACCAGCACAGCTGAAAATATCAGCCTCCTCCAGCTGCCGCGATGGTCTCCTCCGGAAAAGAGACTTGATGATGAGGCCGCAACTCTGTCGAGATCAACGAGTAGACACACTTGGATACCCGATAACCACCCACGAAGTCATCACCTGTGCAGTGGCAAGCGCAATGTACACCGCCGTCTCACGCCATCCACCACAAACACAAAAACGGTCTTACCTGCGTTGCCACTCAAGCGCGGGGGGTTCCGCGGATTCGTGGGTGGTTATCGGGTATTGATGATGAGCGGCAGGCAGCAGGCAGGAGAGGAGAGCGGGACACCGCAACAGCACTCTGTCTCAAGGTACACCAGCGCATTGTTGCCGCTGGGTTGTTCAGTCCCGGGATAAAGTGAGAGATACGGCCATCACACCATCCTTGTGGCTCATGGGGGTGTGACAACGGCACCATCCTTGGGAGATTGTCTTCTGGCGCGCAGTAGAGGCAGGCGCCACACGGCACAACAAGAAGACTGCTGTTGACTGCAGCAGTACAGCAGTAGAGGATCACGACGAGGGGTATCCTGCTGCACACGATGCTAACGGTGCCTGCTGTGGCGATGCTATTTGGGGTGGCCAGCCTCATCAAGCTGCTCGTGCTTGCGCCCTGCCTTTATCGCAGCACGGACTTCGAGGTGTGTAAGACATGTGATGTGTTGGGAGGGCATGGATTATTACCGTGGGGGAAACATTTTGGATTTGGCTCAGTTTGGCACCCTTCGCCGCGGAGGAAGACGCGTGATGGTGCGTTGTTACAACAGCAGTACTTCTCAAAGACCTTGGCAGTAATAGAAGAGCGTCTTCTTGACCTTGGCAGTGATAGACGAACGTCCTCTTGTGCATGGTTTCAAGAAAAAGTGCTGACCATTCCGTGTGCATGCACCAGGATCAATGGAAAGATGATGGGGACTCAGCAATGCCGGCACGATAGTGGGAACTGGCAGTCAATGCCGCCGTGGCTCCGTTGACTTGACGTTAGAAGGGTGGCGCGACAATGGCCCTCGATGCTCTTATATCGGAGCCTCCTATACCGCTGTTATATCGGTGTCCTCTTTGGTTGACTACAGTACCCTCTAATAACAAGACCCAGGAATAACGAGAAACAATGGCGCCACGATATCATCGGCACTACAGACGGTCTACAAGTACCTTCGGAAAATCCAAGCGGAGTCTTTTGTCCTCTCCTGATTACTCCATTACAGAGGTACTTTTGAAGACGTGATCATTTTGGCTACATCCCAGACGCCGGGCCGGTGTCGCTCCTTGTTTTTTCACTTTCCGTTTTATGCATCCTGTTTGGAGTCCAGCTGCTTGTCTAGGCAACTTGACAGGTCCGATCCGGGGTAACGCAGAAGGACGCCTCGCTGCAACATGCAGAGTACAGGGTTAAGGTTAACGCTTATGCCTTTCTTTTTGAACGGGAAGAGTTCAGCCGTGTACTCCTTCCCTCAAGCGTTCTCACGAACAAGCGCTCATTGTAATCACAACGGCAAAGAGCAGTCTCGACGATGTCCAAAGTCTCACCCCCGTCCATCGCACGTCTTGGGAGCGACAACAGCGGTACCGCCTAACCCCCCGGGGCCATTGTACTTGTACTCTATTCTGTATCGTTCCGTGCTCTGTAAAAATATCCAGAGCTGCTTGCGGTGCACTGCAACTGCGGCGACGTGTCTCACCTCGCTGTCCATGGGCTTTCACGCAACTAGTGATACCTTACACTGCTCTACAATACTTTGCTGCACACGAGGAACACATGACGTGTAGCATGCCAAACAAAGTCTTCAACCTCAAACACGCTCATTCGACCCGGCACGGTTGCTCGTGCGTTCCGTTTCGACCGAAGGTTCACCGTAACTGGCTAGCAATAACGCACTCAAAGTCCTTGGCAGACTGGTACTGGGAGGATACATCGGAGTGGACGCTAGACTATCCGCCCCTCTTTGGATACTTCCAGGTGAGGTAGGTCTGTCTTCAGCTAGGCGTCGTCGACGCACGCCGAATAGGACATTCACCTCAAACTTATCGTTTCTTCCCTTGTTTTTGCGTTCCCGGATCAGAGTTGCGTCGAAAGAGCAGGAGAGGCCGCATAGTGGTAATTACGGGAAATAAAACAGCCAAGGGTTGAACCAAAATGCTGGACATTTGAGGCCACGCAAGGCAGTTGCGTCTGCTGCGTACGCTTTGTCCCGAATGGATGACCCTTGACCTCGGCCCTGGTGACCTTGTCAATGGTCTACGCAGGTTTTTCTCAGTAACAAATACACTGGATAAAGTAAAGCACCGGCTGCGTTGGGGTAAGGGTCTGCATGCCCCCTGCCGAATCTGTTTTCGTAATAGGCTTACTTTCGGCGCAGGCAGTCTAGCGTTGTTGAGTTGTGTTTTCTGCGACGTCTACAACAACACGCAGTCAGCCAGGGAGATAACCATATCCTCTTAACTTTTCTTTCAGCTTCGTGATGGGGAGTGTTGTCGATTTGTATTTCCTTCCCGAGGGGTTGCACTTCACAAATGGAGGCCAACGCGGACGGCGAGAAATGACTGGTGCAACAGCATTGCACCAAGTTAGGCAAAGTCCAGTGGCCTCGGACCCGCGAGGGGGTGCGTGTTCGAAACTGGGCTGCAGGGATGTTTTGGGTTTGTCTCGGTGCACACCCTTCGAAGCGGCAACGCAGGTTGAGCGTCATGAACGGTAGATGGTCCCAAGAACCAGCCGAGCCCTTATGCCATAGTGGCATCATGCCAGTCCCACGTTCGCAACACAGAGGCATTCCGTTGAACCTTGGCTGATGCCTTCATGAAAATTTGTTGTGTGTCGGCGCTTGGTCACGCGCACCCACTCATTTGTTCAGTGGGCCCTCTCTCAGGCAGCCGTCCGCGTGGACCCGGATCTGGTGAAAATCACCCCGTACTACGAGCCTAGCGAGGTGGCAGTGTGGTTTCAGGTAAGTGTCACCGTGCATAGATCGGCAACCAAACGTTCTTGTTTTTCGGCGAACTTGTTCTGCGAACAATCTGTGCGTTCTTTGTGTTGAAGACAGATCAAAGGAGGGAAGCGTGTTCACTGACTGGGCATTATGGCACTCGAAGCGCTTCGAATCGGAGCAAGACGAAGCCTGCACAAGTCGTGTTTGCCTCGTACGGTGAAGTCAACATAATGAGGCACAAGCCATATCAGCCTTGTGCGGTGACGTCAACACCATGAGGGGTGACCATCGAAGAGCGTCCCCACTCGGAAAATCGCCGAAGCTCTTTTAATTTTGGATCCATTTCGGGAGACATCCATTTCGGGAGACAGCACGCAGGCAGGCGCTGACTGCAAGATTGTAGCAGGAACATCGGCAATATCTGCCCGATGCTGTGTTCTGTTGTGTTTTCGTGCCCCGGGCGGCCACACTTGTGTGCTAAAAATGTGCAAGTGTAACCGCTTTCAACGTTCACCGCTCCCGAATGTTGCGGTGCACTCATGGACCATTTCTTACTAGGGTACATTTTTGCCGCCCCCTTCCAACCCCCCCCCTTTCAGAGCCTTGTTTGCCATCGGGGTTGGGTTTTCGTCGCTTGGCAACGACGTTGTAAAACAAGCCGCCCCCCCGGTGTTTGCCATCGGGATTGGGTTTTCGTCGCTTGGCAACGACGTTGTAAAACAAGCCAATTCACTTCGTGAACTCGGCAACCAGGTTATCGTGTTTTTTTTTTTACCTCCGTTTTTTTTTTTGGCGGTAACCATACTGGTGGTCGAGTAGATCATGTTGTGCGGGGTGGAGAACCCT